TACCTGAACTCAGAAAGAACTGTGCTCCGGATCTGCCTAGGAAGAAAAGATTCTGAGCCACATCAAGGTTATCACCTTGTGGTTACCCTTATTTTGCATGAGTGAAAGTTTCTTTCTGCTTGACCTTTAATGGTTACTAGCTTTGGCTGTGAATGAGTGTTTAAGAATCCCGTTCAAAAATAAAAAAAATAATCACATTGTTCAGACAAGGCCTACCTTTGAGTGTTTAATAATAAAGAGTGAGACAGATTTGGGAGACCCAAAGAAAATGAAAATGGTTCAAAGAGAGAGTCTCTGGTCCCCTTTGTATTCTTTCTTACTCACTTGAGAACACCCAGCTGTGGGCTGGGGATGTGGCCCAGTGGTAGGGCACTTGCCTAGCACTGTGAGAGGCCCTGGGTTCAGTCCTGAGTACTGGAAAAAACAAAACAGAACATCCATTATTATCTGTCTTGGTTTAAGCCTTCTGGTGATGAGATTAATTTTCCATTTTTTTTTAAATTTTAAACTCTTTGTTTTTTTTAGTATTTATTTTTTAGTTATAGGCAAACACAATATATTTTTTATTTTTATGTGGTGCTGATTGAACCCAGTGCCTCACACATGGTTGGTGAGCGCTCTACCTCTGAGTCACAATCCCCACCCTAATTTTTCTTTCAAGTGTTTGAACAATTATGGACTTACATGTTTTAGGGATAGAATAAGCAAATATTTGCTTGCCACCAAGAGCCAAACTGATAGCCAAGATACCCTGCCTGATATATTGTGACTACTTCAAAGGGAAGACGTGTTTACACCCCTATGCCCTGGGTCTTTTTATTTTTTATGTCAGGGAGCACTCTTCCACTGAGCTACATCCATACTCCTCTAGCTCGGATGGGAGTTAAGGGAAATGATAACATTCAATTAATACTGTTATTATTTCAATTGAAATAATGAGCAAGCTATTTAAAAATAAAAGAGCAAGTAGGCATGATGGGGGCAGAGAATTTTTCCCCAGAAGTTCTGAATATTCTGCATGTTTTATTTGATGAAATATGAGTCTCTTGTCTTTTCAGAAAAGATGTCTTTAGATCCCAGGCAATTTTGTCCTATTCCAATAGATAATAATTTATTAATTATTCACAATTCAGAATTTTGTCTTTATTTTTTCTTACAATTGAGGAAAAAGAATTAATTATGGTGAGTGTTGGGGATTTCAGGACTGGGAAATAGGAGATGAGGAAGGATCTCACAGACTTTGACTATTCCCCAAAACTAAGTCATCTTTATAGCAAAGATTTGCCACAATTTATGATATTGTTAAAATGTTCAATGGGATAGAACCATCTCACATTTCTTGCACATCCCATGAAAATATCACCCAAAGAAGATTTAAAAGGCACAAGTCAACAAGGGCCATGAAAAGCAGAAGGGATGACGATGAGAAATGTAGTACAATTTTATAATCCAGAGG